AATGGCGTCATGAAAGTTCTCAAACTGCAGTGATATCAAACCGGTCACACCCGTGACAATTCACTCACGGTCAGAACCAACCGGTCACGGTCACGTTTTTTGCTATTTATAGACTAAATAAGTACATTAAAATTATATTATGTGTACCAGTGGGTAATATTACTCACAGTTTATCTACCGCAAGTGGAGTCTGGTCATTTTTGACATTCCTAACCTCAAGACTGAAAAGTTTTTCACTCAGATCTTAAATTTGTGGGGTAACTTGGGGAAAAAGTTTAAATTACATTAAAATGCGTCTTTTTTTCCTGAAATCTTCATAATATATAGTTACCCATTTGTTAACTAGGTACTTCCATGTTGTTAATTATAATTATAAACTAACCTACATGCAGTAAATATAATGTTAATAGGTGTGACCGTTTTGTACTTTATGAGGACCTCAAAAGGGTAAAAGTTACCAAAAGTACATTAATTAACAAAATTTAGCTCTGCTGCTTTACTGATGGGTTCTAAGGGTTATTAGCTATACATTAATCAATAAATTTTCTCAAAATATATGTTAAATTTTTTTTTACTCTCTTTACACAAGTTGGCCTGTTTTGTGGTTTTCACCCTACAACTTCTGGAACTTCTCTGGATGTTTCAAGAGCTGTTCATGTATTCGCTACTTTCAACATTTTGGCGCCAATAAGGGGGTACCCAATATTTTATTTACCTAAAGCATTTCATCAACCAATGACGTTGACATTTTCCAATGAACTGAGTGCCAAAAAGCATCACCCTCTCATCTTGCTACTAGCAAGTGCCAGTGCCACGACCTTGCAGCATGCATGCATCTTGCACAGTGCTACTGGCATCAAGAATGCTAGTCGCACGCACCATGCGAGATGCATATGTGTGTAACCACAGCCTCCTCTAATACAGGATCGAACAAGTACCGACCCCTAAGGCCTGCCACTGACGTTTCTACCAGTGAGGATCTGTGAAGCTGCATACTTAAGGATGTCTTTGGAGCTGTCCATTACTTTCACTATTCCACTGTTCCGAAAATTTTCTTCTGTTGAGGGGTTAGAAGAAATTAAAAAAATTACCTTCAGTCAATCAGCTCCTGCAGTTTGACGAAGGTAACTTTATTGACTAATCACAAGATCAGCTCAGGGGCTAAACAACATGGACAAGATGTTTTACTTTCTCCCCCTATACATAGTATATGGAGAAAGAATTGTTTTCGTCAAAATTTTTGAGTTTTGAGTGGAAGTGATGTCTGTGTGTGTGTGTGTGGATGTGTACAGAGTTACAGACCACACCCGTCGTCTGATTTTGATGAAATTTTGTACGTATATAAAATTTGAACTGATGGTATTTTTGGCATGTGTGGACAAACAAATGAAAAAGTAAATCGGTCCCAGGCCTAAGTCTTACCGTGCCACCTACGAGGTACTTCCCTATAGGGAAATTCGCTAAAATACACAAATACTATTAGCTGCCTCTAAACAAAACAGTTGTTACAACACTACTTACGATGTTTCCACTTCGAAGGCCTCGGCCTGGAGTTAAAGGTGGCTGTAGGATTTGGCTAATAGTATTTGCATAGACTAACCAACACAAGTAGACCTCTCATCCCATTGTAAATTTTGAAGCTCGTTTTTCATGCCTAGTTCATGTACGCCACACTGGGCGCTAGTGTCGACGAAATTTTGTTTCTATTATTTTAGGGTTAGTTTCTTGATTTGTGCTTTACTGTTTGGTTAAATAACTAGGAGACAATTTATTGTTTATGATTAGATCGTATTATTTGGTTAAACGAGGTTTTAAATGACTGTATTAACGGGAAACAAATTGTAAACAAAACACGACATCTACAGAAAACCGTACAGAACTAACCATAAAATTGTCTTCAGCTGTTCCATAAGGATGAGAAATCTACTTGGGGGAGTATGTTTTATCTATGGTATTTGTGTACATATTTACGAAAGATTGGTTCCTGGACTATGACAATATTGACTCCGCTTAAAATGTGCAGATATAGATTTTTAATTAATATTACCTGAATTACCTCCCTCGACGTCCATGACCAGCTCTTGCTGGATAGACAGAGTCAAACTATTTACAATTAATATATATACATATTTAAAAATTTACATTTTGCAGTTTAGGCGGCAGGTTAGACGCATATTTCAAAAAATTCGTCCAGGGAGTACATGGGCCTTGCCAGTAGCCACTCTCTCAGTTGATTTTTAAAATCCTGGGCTCGAAGGTTTTTCAAGTATTGGGGCAATCGGTTGTACATCCTTACAGCCAACATAGGGAAACTGTTCTTTTTTTTTATTCAGTCTGCAGTAAGGGATATCAAGGTTGGATTTTGACCTTGTATTGTGGACATGTAGGTCTTCTCTCAATGCATAACTGGCAATGTTGGTCTTTAGGTCATTTAGGGTGATAAGGATGTACTGATTATATACTGTTTGGATGTTAAGGTTTCTGAAAAGGGGTCTACAATGTTCGTCGTAGTCAGTAGATGAAATGACTCTAACCGCCTTCTTTTGTATCAGAAGTACATCCTTACAACCAGCTGCATGGCCCCAAACTTCCAACCCATAGCTGAGATGGCTGTGGAACAACGCAAAGTAAACAGTCAACAAATACTGCTTTGTCAGCATGGGTTTGAGCCTCCTGAGGAGATGTAATGCCCTCGCAAGCCTAGTGCAAACTTTTGTTGTATGATTTTCCCAGGTGAGTTTGGGGTCGATAGTGAAGCCCAATAATTTAACCTCAGGCAGGTTGCCAGGGATAAGATTTCGAGACAGACTACAGGTCATGTGTTGGGTTTTACCTTCATTTAGGCAGAGCTTGTTTACTTTGAACCAGTTCTTAGTAATCTCAAAAGACTGTTCAGTTTTGACCCTGGCCTCCTCAGGAGTACTTCCTTCTGCAAAGATGGTCGTATCGTCTGCAAAAAGCAAGACGTTACCAAGCTGCCCGAGGTCGTTCACCATCACCAAAAAAAGCACAGGGCCCAACACAGATCCCTGGGGCACGCCATGTTTAACTGGCAGTGGTTGTGAGTTTGCCCCTCTTACAGCCATTATCTGTGTTTGATTTGAGAGATAGGATTCAAAGGCATGCAGTGCTGGCCCCCTAACACCATACAAATGTGACGTAATTTTCCTGGCGGACGACAAGAGGTAAATTACGCCACCGGTAAGAAAACGAGATCCCAGGATTCGCCCTAGTCTGGTCGCGGGGAGTTTCCCAGGAGTCGATAGTGATTCGGATAGCCTAACTTTGATAGCCCTGGTTGTCAGAGCTCGAGACGAACGTTGCGGGTTACTAAACACCCTACTCGAAATCACCACTCTAGCCTAGGGCTTGTGGGGAAATAAATAATTTTGACTTGACTCTGTGGGCAAATATCTAAATGACACACTACTAGCTAACTTAACAAATCAACAAGTAAGCTAAGTAGGCACTCCGCTTACCTACGGAGTTACGTCGTCACCCTGAAACAAACAAGGTTAGTACAAGATAGGCCTAACCTAGCCTAACTCCCACAGAGCCTGAATTTACTAAAATGATAAGAAAACAAGTTAGCCTAAGTGGTCCAGGTGAGGAGCGAACAAAAAAACGAAACTAAAAAGGTGAAACTGCTCCTTGAGCCAAAAACGAAAAACTAAAACTTTAACTTCCTCACGTGTTCAACTTAGACCAACTTCGACAGAACTTGTCCAGCAGAAACCTGTCTGCTGGAACAGACTTTGGTACGTTTGGGGGAACTTTAAAAAAAAGGGTTTTAAGAATTAAAAAAGAAAGTCCCAAGACGGATTATGAAACGTAATGGAAAATATATTTCACCAACTGCAGTACTTTACTCAAATTGTTGGTTAAGGCGTATGACTAGGTCTGCGAATCAGGCCTAGCCTTCAAGTTCAACCAAGTTTCGTACACGAAAACTGGTCAAGTAATATACAATAATCTGTAAGTTAGTTACAAAACTTACCCGATGACGAAATTATATCAAAATATTCACTACGAAACAATACGTACGAACTTAAGCTTTCAGAGCTTGCGATACGAACTTTAACTTGCACGAATTTTCGAGAGCGAACCAAAAGCGAAACAAACTTACCAAAAGCCGGGATTACGAATGACCAAAACTTCACAAAAACTTCTTCTTACCTCACCTTCGTCTCTGAATCGAGACGAAAGTTAAAACGATTCCTGATTGGTCAACGAGTTACCGAAACAAAAAAAAAACTGGCAGCGAAGGCAGGCGCATGGCAGCTTTAACAGGCTTACAGCCGCGTACCGCTCAAAGGTGACCTCGCTGCTCATCTTCTCTCCCGTAGCCCGGCCTCAGATGCAGTCGAACAGCCAAACAACCAAACTGACACCAACGTCGTCTGCGGTCTGGGAATTGGAGGTTAGGTACGACGTCAGTTTAGTGTCGCGACTAGGCTTACTCAACAGCTTATGTTTAGCTGTTTAATGTTCGTGGTCTAGATCGTTATATTTTTACCCCCCTACCCATTTGACTCGTTACACCCCCTCCACACTTCGGAACGAAAAAAAAGAAAACCGAGAAAAAGAAAAAAGCTGTTGAACTTTCCTGCAGATGACACATCAGTAGGATCGTGGGCAGGAAAAATTGACAGAAGCCGATGCCGGACCCCGTTGGTCCGGCTGCTCCAGGGTGTTGACGACGAAAAGTGGGCGAAATTAGTAATGATGTAGACTGTCTGAGGCCGAGTTGCCTCAGAGGTCTGGACGAAAACGAATCGGGGCGAAGAGTAACCAAAGGTGAAGAGTAAGCGTGGGGTTTACAAAGGTAGGGTAGTACGGCAGGCTCGGAGTCTTGGAAGCGGGGCGAAGAGCTACTCACGAGGATACGTCACCCCCAGACGAGGGTTAGCTATGGCTGCTTGTCGGCAGCTTGACGTGACCGAAAGGACTGACGAACAACGGATCACCAGACGTCGCTGCGGTTGCGGGATCCTTGCAGACTAGTCACGTGCACAGAAAGGTTTCAAGTCTTTCACGTGAACGACGTGCAGTGCAGCAGTATCCTCATCACGCACCTCGTAGAGGTTAGTACCTCGACGACCGACCACAATGCAGGGGCCATGATATTTTGGTGCTAATTTCCCTACGATGGCGTCGGCAGCGGAAGACAGGACGTGGAGTCTTCTCATCACTTGCGTACCAACTTCGTGAGTCACCTCCCTACGACGGAGGTTATAATATGTCGATTGCCTCTCGTAGGCAGCCTTGAGGTTCTTGTGTGTCTGCGTGATCAGACGCTGAAACTCCTCCAGTCGTTTACGGTGGACCTCACTTAGCAAGGGATCGTGGGGAGTCTCAGTCACCTCAAACGAAGGGCCACGGACGGCACAGGGAGGCTTCAGTTCGCGTCCGAAACACAGCATCGCAGGAGTGAATCCAGTAGAGTCGTGGACAGCCGTGTTGAGGGCGTACTGGAACTCCACCAGGTGGTTGTCCCAAGACCTATGATTGCCTTTCACGAACTGTGCGATCATATGACTAGGTCTGCGAATCAGGCCTAGCCTTCAAGTTCAACCAAGTTTCGTACACGAAAACTGGTCAAGTAATATACAATAATCTGTAAGTTAGTTACAAAACTTACCCGATGACGAAATTATATCAAAATATTCACTACGAAACAATACGTACGAACTTAAGCTTTCAGAGCTTGCGATACGAACTTTAACTTGCACGAATTTTCGAGAGCGAACCAAAAGCGAAACAAACTTACCAAAAGCCGGGATTACGAATGACCAAAACTTCACAAAAACTTCTTCTTACCTCACCTTCGTCTCTGAATCGAGACGAAAGTTAAAACGATTCCTGATTGGTCAACGAGTTACCGAAACAAAAAAAAAACTGGCAGCGAAGGCAGGCGCATGGCAGCTTTAACAGGCTTACAGCCGCGTACCGCTCAAAGGTGACCTCGCTGCTCATCTTCTCTCCCGTAGCCCGGCCTCAGATGCAGTCGAACAGCCAAACAACCAAACTGACACCAACGTCGTCTGCGGTCTGGGAATTGGAGGTTAGGTACGACGTCAGTTTAGTGTCGCGACTAGGCTTACTCAACAGCTTATGTTTAGCTGTTTAATGTTCGTGATCTAGATCGTTATATTTTTACCCCCCTACCCATTTGACTCGTTACACAAATACAACTTGTCTAGCAGATGATTGTGGGGAACGCAATCGAAAGCTTTACTTAAATCGGCCAGAGTCAGTGCAACTGTATTTCCCTCTTCAAAGGCATCGACTATTTTAGTGACAAGCTTAAGAACTGCAGTAGTGGTGGTTCTACCACTCCTAAACCCATATTGAGAGTCGCTAAACAGACAGTTTGATTCAAAGTGCTTAACAAGTTGATTCTTTAATATGGTTTCATATAAACTTTTGCGAACATAGGCACTATAGAGATAGGCCGGTAACTTCCCATATCTTCAGGGTTACCCTTCTTGAAGATAGGTACGGTTTTAGAGACTTTCAATGCATCGGGAAAAACCCCATGGGTCATGCAGACATTGAGCACTTTTGCGAGGGGTTCAGCGATAATATCGGCAACATGTTTCAGAACAATAATGTTTATACCATAGATGTCTTGACTAGTCGAGTTCTTAAACTGTCTAATTATTTTGATGATAGTTTGAGGCGTTACATAGAACCAGTCATTTAGGGGGTTCACAATAGGCTTGTTCGGTACTTCCGTTCCAGTTTTTACATTACTGACAGTTACTGAGTCTACGATTTTGTCAATTTCCCCAAGAATATATTTGTTAAATTCATCAGGATTTGCAGTACACTTGAGAGTTGTGGTTTGTTTTGATACACTATTCACCAGATTCCATGCTGCCTTGCAGGGATTTTTGGCAGCCTCAATACCAATTGTTAAATGTTTTAATGAACTTTTTTAATATACCAATTTTTACAATACATTATACAAATTTTTACAATAATTTTATAGATAAAATATTGAAGAAAGGTCGTCGTCTGCGGGTGAGGAACCAATGATGCTGGTGACATTTCCTTTTTGTATGGCCATGGCAATTCGTTGAACTAGGTAGCTCCTCGCTTTATAGTCATCTGTTTTAGCGAATTTCCCTATAGGGAAGTATAGCTATTATCGTAGGTGTCACGGTAAGACCTAGACCCGGGACCGATTTACTTTTTCATTTTGATGTCCTCAGAGGCCAAAAACACCATTCGTTCAAATTTTTATATACGTATATATATATATATATATATAGACTTATATATATACTTCCGTGAACGCGATAACTTGAGTAATTTTTGTCCGATTTTGATGAAATTATGTTTAAAGGTGTAAAGCGGGATAAACTTGAATGAGTTCGCAAACCAGCATGATCGGACCATGGAAACGGGGCTTTACTGGGGGTTTTATGGGGTAAAAATTGGTTTTTCTCACTTTTGACCCTCAAAACACAAAATTTCCCGATTTCTCTTTAGACCTTTTTAAAGAGCTAAAAAAAAACAAATAATTTAGTATATAAAAGTATTTTTGTTCGATTACTAGTAACGGAGAAAATTAAAAAATTGTAAATTTTAAATTCCCATGTTGTTCTTATGGAGAATCTATATATATAATTCTGTAAGACCAAATTTTTACCAGAAAATTGTGGATGTCTGGTAAGTCGCAGAAAAGTGGGAGAGGTCTTAAATTAAAGGTCTTGACCCCAGGGACTCGGGAAAAATAGCAGAATTCCCATAAAGTTACCAGAAAACGAGATATAACGTAAAATATCCACCATAAGAAATGCATGGGGACTGAAAAACGTCAGAAAAACTATCAGCTGTTACTTATTTATTTGCAATGTTGACATTTATTCCGAAAGTCAATGTTGGTAAATAATGTTTCAAAATGAATTGTGTTTAATTTTTTTGTTTTTCCGTTTTTATAATGAGTGAAGTAACTAGACAGGGCAGGGGAAGGCCTGAAAGACGTGGAAGAGTGTCCAGGAATTCAACAGACTTAAGAAATGCAAAAGAGAACGTCATGTGGCCTAACTGTGAACGAAATCCAGAAACTGTTTTACAACCTATCTTTAGAAGAACGCTGGAATTGTATTGTGGCGCATTTCACATTTCGCAGAGGAGGCCACAAATGGAAATTTCAACGCATGTTGCCACAATGGGCATGCCACAACCACAAGTAAATGACGAACTAAAAGAACTGTTTTTACATGATTCGAACTTCATAAAAAAACATTATAAGGCAATACAACAGTGCAATGGTTTTTGCGTCGCTTTCCGCTACACAAAAAGAGAGTTCCGGGTAATGGACCTTACTGTCTTAAAGTTCAGGGACAAATTCGTAGATATATTTCTGACTTACTACCGCGAAATGGGGAGTTGCCCTCATAATAATTAATAATAATTTTAACCTTTACATTTGGTTCTCAAAATTGAAACGATAACAGAATTCGTAAGATTACAAAACAAATCTTCAATTTTAAACTAGAAAAGATGTGCAATGTTTGGCTGTATGATTTCAGCTCTGATTCGTCGTTCTCCGGTCTCAGGCCAAACCGTGTGCACGTTTCCATTTGTTAATATGTTGTGTTATTGATTTAATCATTATTTTACAATTGTATTTCATTGGCTCATCAGAAGTAACTAATATACGACTCCAAAACGGAAGGAAAACCAAGATATAAAGCAAGAAACACTTTTAATTTTAAGTACCGTAACATAAAATTGATAATTAATTTCAAAAACATATTTACAATATTTGTCTTTTTATATATGGGTTTTTATTGTAGTCTAAATTAGGGGCTATGGCCCCTACAGGCCACTAGTATTGTCAAATGTTGTAGTTTGCTTGTTTATGGATATATTTTGATCAAACTTGGCAAATTTATTTATTTTGTACTAAGCTATCAATATTTTACTCAAAAACACACTTTATTAGTTTCCTTGTAGCAGCAAACCTAGGTACTCGTTAAACCTAATGTTATTAAAATATATTTAACTGAAAATCAATTCAGACAAATGGAAATTCGCTTAGTCGGCAGATATACTGCGGCGGGGGTATTTTTCAATTAGCTTGCGGCCTATTTCATTTACCCAGTTCTTGCCTTCCTTGCACCATGGCCCAGCAGTTTCCATACACCCAAGACGATTAACTGTGGTATCCTTTTGACGTAATATTTGTATGTTTTCTCTGGGTGGCCATTTTAGCTGCTGCTCCGGTTTGCTTTTTTGTTTGATTTATATAACTCACTGCGTAAGTATCAGAGCAAGTGAAATCCCAGATTAGACATTGGCTCTTGCTCCAGGGGATGATTGTGGCTCCATCTGGCCGCTTCCCATCATTTCGGTCAAGACCTGTAGGTTCCAGTTGGGCTGGGATGTCGGCACACACCAAAGCTTTTTTTATCAGATTGTTAACTTCAGCGTGTGACGGAAAAATCCTCCAGAAGTTTTGATACAGGATAACGGGTGTAAACCTCTCTTGTCTACGATTTCAACACAGACTGATGTTTTAATTGTTTAAACATTGCTTGTGTTTTAATTGTTTAAACATTGTTTATGTTTCAATTCTGTACGTTTTATTTTCAATATTTTAATAAATTTATGTTCATAAATTTAAATCTATAAAGTATGAATTAATGAGCGGATGTCACCTGTCTGCCATGTTATCTTATGGGACGTCTGACACTAAACAGCCCTACTTGCGACGTTACCAATTCTACCAGGCCACGGCCTGGAGGCGGCCGTGGTCCGTGCTCGCCGTTTGGGCTCTTCCTTACTCGGCGTCAGAAGTACATATATTTCCGACACAACATACTAAAGCTGAAAGCAGTCGTCCCATGACTCATGAGCTAGTTTTTTTTCTGTACCTTGCAATTCTCTGTGCTGATAATATAGATTTATATTGTGTACTTGATACAATATAAGTCTTCCCCACTCCTCGTGAAAATGGTTTAAAAAAACATGCTCGTCTATTAATAAATATGATTATTTTATAGTTATTTATCCCTATTTCATACGTAGAAACATTATTTTACAGAAATACAGTCTATTCTTTGCAATAAACTTCCTATTAAAGAAAAATCGATGGTACATTTTGTATAGTACGAATCGTACCTCTATGTCTAGTTTACTTTTATACTCTTTGACCTACGTAATCTGTCACTGATCAGTTTTTTCCTAGCTAATAATAATAATTAACTCTCTATTATTATTGTTTTGTTGTTTGTTCCCTGTCACGACAAAACAGCAAAATGTTTACATTTTATTTTTTGAAATAATTTCCAAGTTTCAAATTTGTAGGTCTTTTATGTTGTGTACTAGTACTTTTACTTTAAAACTTAACCAGCCAATTTTGTGAGTGATTTTTTCTAGCAAGTTTTTAGCTCAAGTCAAGTTAGTCTACTGTAGGCCATGTAAACTGCAAGTTTAGTGGATTCAGGGTGAGACTTTCTTCAAGTTGTCACAAGGACATAAAATAATCTCAGGTAATGTCATAAGCAAATGCATCAATAAATTAATTTACTCTTTTTATTGATTTTTAAATTGATATAAAATGGAATGTCTGTCAGAAACGGTTGATTGCTACAATTTGTTTGGGCCCTTTTTTCAAGGGTTAATATTGACTATGCCTGATAGGACTAGTAGTACCTTATGCCTTTGAAAATGTTTGTACCCCACGATTTGATTAGCTCAAACAAGGATCTTCAGCTAGGCTAAACTAACTATGTAACAAAAACATCTTGAATCTTGAGTAAGATAACTAAGTTAACTTACTGTAGCTGTAAAGAATCATGTTTTTGTTCCATATGCCCAGAGCAAGGCGGGTTTTGTTTACCTCAGGGGCTTCTAACGAAGTTTGAAAAAAATGGGGTTTTCTCATGATTTGAATAACTTACTTTTATGAATACTTTTTACATTTGGCACTTTTGGGGCAATCGCCTATTACATTCTAAAAATCACAAAAAAGTAGGCCTACTAAAAACCAGTATTTTTAAAAATACTTTTAGGTAACTTAATGTGTATTTACTATTATTTAGGACATTTTAAACACCCTCTTGACACTTTTTCGGCAACTGCCGTTTTTATCCAGAAAATCAGGTTTGAAAAATCATCAAAAAACTGCAAAGTGCCGAAAATGCCCAGCCCACTCCTCTACCAAACTAAATATAATATAATCTAACCTAACCTAATCTAGAACTTAACCTAACATACTATACCTACTAGTAACCTAACCTTGGTTTAACAAAAGATCCGTCATTTTTGGCATATTGCTAACCTTTGAGAAGCATTATTGATGTGCGATTGCAAGATGTTACAATCGAAACGTTTCAATTGTTTGAATCTCTCGAGACTTTTTCATTGTACTTTTGCTTAGCGAGAGGTTCTAAATATCGAGATGTTCGTGACCATTGTTTCGTTTCAGCACGGCTTCTCTTCTCTCGTATCTTGCTCTCGCTTCTCGCATTGGTCTAGAGAACCGAGAGGCGAGAGGTTCTTACCGAGAGGTTTTAACGAGATGTTCTTGACGATTGTTTCGTTCAGCACGGCTTCTCGTATCTCGCTCTCGCTTCGTCTAGAGAACCGACAGGTTCTTACCGAGAAGTTTTAACGAGACGTTTGTCACGATTGTTTCGTTCAGCATGGCTTCTCTTCTCTCGTACTCGCATTCGTCTAGAGAACCGAGAGGCTAGAAGTCCTTAACGAGAATAAGATGTTCATGGCGATTGTTTTGTTAAGTGTGCGGCATCGTCATTTATTATTATCTAATTTCTATTGTATCTGCCGGGGATTGAGCCCCAATAAGAGGTATATCTTACTTCAAAACCAAGGAAGGCTTATGGAAATATATTAGCTGTAACCCGCGGGCTTTGCCCCGTTTAACTTCTTAATTTTCAAGATGATCTCGTTCGCATGGCTCAATCATGACCTGGTTGAAGTTTGTTCGCTACGCTCACTCACCTTTAGGTTGGAGCTCGTTCTCTGCGCTCACTTGCCTTCAGGTTAGCTCGTTCGCTACGCTAACTCGCCTCCAGGTTGAAGTTCGTTCGCTACGCTAACTCGCCTCCAGGTTGAAGTTCGTTCGCTACGCTCACTCACCTTTTGGTTGCAAATTAGCTGTTGTCATTTAAATGTAAAAGAAATAATAGCGCTGCACCCTGTTGGTAATCCTTGTAACTTTAATGCTATTGAACACCATAGAACAGATGTTTAACCAACTTGTTTAATTGAAACAGCTGTTAAGATTCATTAATTCCATTTCTCATAAGGTTAACATGGGAAACTCCAGAGCCACTGGGGCGGAGCCCAGAGGTCGGAGGGTAAAATCCTTTCTTAGTGAGCGTCTACTACCCAAAAGGAAGATGCCTGCCAAGTTTCAGGTTCCTAGGTCTTATGGTTGCTGAGATTTCGTGATGAGTGAGTGAATGAATGAATGAGTCAGTGGCATTTGAGCTTTATATATATAGATTACTTAGGCCTACTGTACTTTATCTACGGAATAGTGACTTAGCCTAATACCACTCAATAAAAACTATTGACAAGACGAGATATTTTACAAACAAAATGTTTGTATTTAAACACAGCCACCTCTAATACAAGGCCGCGGCGAGCGAAAAGTGGCAACGTTGCATCCGTGTCTTGGTGCGCGGTCGTCTTACCATTACAGTGAATGGAGGAGTTGCGTACTCTACGTACATAATCGCGTTTCTACTACCGTACCCTTAATCATTAGTAATGACATTGAACTTGTTACTACACCATGCCAGATAGATGTGATGTGCCTGGATGCAAGAATAATTACGAAAGCTCAATTAAAAATGAATAATACATGCAGTGTTCTAAGATTCTAAGTGATCCGCCGCTTAAGCAACAATGGCTTCCTGCTATTCTTCAGTCAAATTAGACATCTTAAAACAATTCTCGTTTTTGTGTGAAACATTTTGACGAATATGAACTTAGATTTGTAAAAATATGTAAGAATAAAACAATGGTTCGTGTAAATATAGACGAGAGAAGCGAGTTTTAGGTATCAGAATGCCGTACTATTTCCTTATTTATTTGTCTATCTTATTGATAAAAGCTGTTGTTAAGTGATTAAAATAACTTAAATAACTAGCACTTCGAAGCAATAAACCGGTGTTTCTGTTAAGTAGGCCTACTAGCCTTTTATCTATGCTACTAGTAAAAAATATGTACTACACCATCTAACAATAAAAGCATCATAGTCTCCGACTCCAGTCTGAATGTTGATGTGATAAAACAATTCTATTAATATTGTGGAAAGCCATATGGAGGCCCAGCTTCTGAAATCGCTTACAAAATGAAATACCCCCGCCGCAGCAAACCTGCAGACTAAGCGAATTTCCATTTGCCTGATTGGATTTACACTAAAATGTCTCCTTAAAAATATCACATTTATCCCTATTTAAATAGAATCAGTTTAACACATACTTAGGTTTGCTGCAACAGGGAGGGTAAAAGTGTTTTTAGCGAATTTCCCTATAGGGAAGTAGCTATTACCGTAGGTGGCACGGTAAGACCTATACCCGGGACCGATTTACTTTTTCATTTTGATGTCCCCAGAGGCCAAAAACACCATTCGTTCAAATTTTTATATATGTATATATATATATATATATATATATATATATATATATATATATATATAGACTTATCTATATAAATAAAATTAGAGTTTTGTCTGTACATTGCTCAGAATTATATATATTTTTAGGTTATTTTTACGTCTTATACATTAAATAAGCAGAAACGAGTCTTATCTCAATTTCTGTCTGTCTGTCTGTCTGTCTTTCCCTTTGTCTGTAACACTCAAGATGGCATTTTACGCTATCTTCTCCTGGAAAACGAGAGTACCTATCAAGATCCAAGTCATTTTAATGTATTCACTGGATTGGCGAGATTGTCTTTAGCCATTAAAATATGGCCTCACTACTTTGTAAATAATATTACGAACGTTCAAAAATGTAGTTTTGTGCGATTTATGTCAAGTTTTCGTCCAATTTTTATTGCATAATCATCTATGAAATAACGAACAGCTGTTCGGATCAAGATTATTTTTCCTAGCTGTCACTGATATGTTTACAAATGTTGTTTACAAATACCGCAACCTTTTTCAATCACGTTTTGAATGTAAATCCCAAGTGATTAAAAACGTTTTTCTTACATAACGGATTTAATTAATCGAAAGTGCAGTAATATAGAGTAATAGTGTAACCGTGTAAATGAAATATAAATAACTAGGCATCATCCAGTTCATGAACCAGAGATTCTTTGTGTATAAATTGTTCTTGAGTTTTGATAACCAGAAAGAAGACCTTGAATCAGTGTTGTATACGGCTGGGAAACTTTAAATTTAATAATGATCGTCGCCAAATGGCTTAGAAATATGGTTTCCACTCATTGACACGGCGCTTTAATGGCGGTTGTGTAAAGTGTAAAGTAAAAAATCACAACTGCAGTGGGTGATTGTAACAGAGGTTTACGGATGATGCTAAACTCGCTTTTCTAATGTGTTATTTTCTGTTCCTACCATTGACTATATATATATAGTCAATAGTACCTACTCACCGTGTGATGCAATCGCTGGACCATACAGCCAATAGGCCCATAGCCCATCTCTTGGGTACGTACGCCTACCCAATTATTCATAACCAACTGTTCGACGACGATCCTTGATACCGGTACTTTTCCCTAGAATACACGGCCTACCTACTTAAGAAATAAAATTACAAACGTCCAAAAACCCAACGTTGTGTGATTTTTGTCACATTTCCTTCTAATGTTATTAGATAGCCTTTACCAATCATTGTTTAGAGAATAGGTACGTAATCTATTAAATAACAAAAAGTTGTTTGTATGAGGTTGTTTTTTTTTCAAACTGACACCGATAAGTTTACATTAAAAGTTGTTTACACATAAAGCAATAAATGGGAATTAACTTTGATTGCCGTTTTAAAACGTTTTACGAGAAAATCCAAAACCAAGAGATCAATAACCTCGGGACTTGATTAACTCATATAATTGATCGGGTGTACTATAGTTCTCAACTGTGAACGTTGGTTTTTGGTACCGGTTCTATTCCTTAGAACCGTTGGTACTGTTGGTAGTAGCAAGAATCATTTTTAAGTACCAACACATCACTGTACTTTACAAATTAGTTATCGTTGGTGTTGCACCTTATTTATTATTACAGGCGTATTCAATTTGATTGATGTCTTAACCGTACAATTTTGGCTTTTTCTTTCTTGATTCCAAAATGTTAGTTTATGCTAAGAAAACGATAATACATTTTAGTAAAACATTTATTCAGCAAACCATAATGAATTGTTTAAACGCTTTACGTTGTTTATGTATCAATAGTTCGTGGCCTATTTTGGTAATATTTACTATAAATTACCAATCGTCTATAGTACTTCATTTCATATAGTAAGCCGTCATTTCGGGTCATCATCGGTCCAAGCAAATATACATTGTTATGATGAAATTTGATGACATTAACAAAATATTTCAGATACTAATTTTACAAGTACTTTGTTATGCTTAAAGCGTAGCAAATCCCCTAATTAAGTTCTGTATTTTTGTGTGTATGTCTGTTAGTAAAGCATTAATGTCCTTATTTCTCAGTGTTTCACGGAAAGGACAAAAGTACCTTTATAATGAAAATTTTCAACACGAATAAAGTGTTAAATTGGGGGGTTGAGGTAGTACCTTAAATACTTTTAACCATTGTGGAAGGTAACTTTCAATTATAGGCCTACATTAGGGCTATGCCTCAAAGATCTATAAAGCATTTTTTAGTTTAATCATTGGATTTAACATATGGACCAACACGACCCAGGTTACATTTAATTTCGAAGCATTTGTTTTGGCTTGAAACTGTCAGATACTGTATTTGCGAAGGTTTATATATAATAGTTTTGCCAGCATATCTGAAAATATGCAAACCAAATTCTGTTCTTAATAAAAAGGTTTCAATAACTGACTACAATAAGATCCCCGTGCGTAGAACGGGCACACAGCTAGTATATATATATATATATATATATATATATATACGTCCGTGAACGCGATAACTTGAGTAATTTTTGTCCGATTTTGATGAAATTTGGTTTAAAGGTGTAAAGCGGGATAAACTTGAATGAGTTCGCGAACCAGCACGATCGGACCATGGGAACGGGGCTTTACGGGGGGTTTTATGGGGTAAAAATTGGTTTTTCTCACTTTTGACCCTCAAAACACAAAATTTCCCGATTTCTCTTTAGACCTTTTTAAAGAGCTTAAAAAAACAAATAATTTAGTATATAAAAGTATTTTTGTTCGATTGTTAGTAACGGAGAAAATTAAAAAAATTGTAAATTTAAAATTCCCATGTTATTCTTATGGAGAATATTGTCAAATGTTGTAGTATGCTTGTTTATGGATATATTTTGATCAAACTTGGCAAATTTATTTATTTTGTACTAAGCTATCAATATTTTACTCAAAAAAACACTTTATTAGTTTCCTTGTAGCAGCAAACCTAGGTACTCGTTAAACCTAATGTTATTAAAATATATTTAACTGAAAATCAATTCAGACAAATGGAAATTCGCTTAGTCGGCAGGTTTGCTGCGGCGGGGGTATTTTATGTAAAATGTTAGTTGTTAGTAAGAAATAAAAACATGTTCCAAATTTGGGCAAAATATGTTAATAAACAAGCAAACTACAGCAGTTTACTTATTCTCCATAAGAATAACATGGGAATTTTAAATTTGCAATTTTTTGGAATTTTCTCCGTAACCATTAGGCGCATTATGACGCTTCAATATACTAAATTATTTGTTTTTTTAAGCTCCACAAAATAGTTTAGAAAGAAATTGCAAAATTTGATGTTTTTTGGGTAAAAAATGGGAAAAACCCATTTTTACCCCATAAACCCCCGTTCCCATGGTCCGATCATGCTGGTTCGCGAACTCGTTCGAATAAACGTAGGTTTACACGTTTGTACCAAATTTAATCAAAATCGGATCATTTTTGCTCGAGTTATCGCGCTAACGGACACATATATATATAAATATATATATTATTTTCTTGCATTGTTAGGGCTACTAATATAATAAAGATCAAAAACATATTTAACAAAGTACCCTTTTAGTAATTATTTTATTTTTCATGACAACATGTTTCGGAACTAAGTCCATTATCAAGTCATTTTTACCATAACCTCATTCTTTAAACTAACAAAATTAAAAATATAATCATATGTAAAAATAATAAAATATAAACTATGTTAACTAAATCTTAATAAATTTTGGTGTCAATTTTTTCATTATACTATATGAATGTTTTTCTTTCCTTCCTTAGTTTTTCAATTTTATCGTAGATAGGTTGGTTTAATTTTGGAATCATTGTGTTAAGTATGTTGTTGGGGTCCTTTTTGTTGTGAAGTCGAACTTCGCTGACCATATAATGAACACAGACCACAGTTATAAAAACATGAAAGAAAATCTAACAATTTTAGAATATGAAAAAGAACGTGAGAAACTTAATGTAAAAGAAGAGCTAAATATTTATATACACAACAAAAAGGACCCCAACAACATACTTAACACAATGATTCCAAAATTAAACCAACCTATCTACGATAAAATTGAAAAACTAAGGAAGGAAAGAAAAACATTCATATAGTATAATGAAAAAATTAATACCAAAATTTATTAAGATTTAGTTAACATAGTTTATATTTTATTATTTTTACATATGATTATATTTTTAATTTTGTTAGTTTAAAGAATGAGGTTATGGTAAAAATGACTTGATAATGGACTTAGTTCCGAAACATGTTGTCATGAAAAATAAAATAATTACTAAAAGGGTACTTTGTTAAATATGTTTTTGATCTTTATTAAATATATATATATATAAATATATATATATATATATATACATATGAATTTGAACGGATGGTGTTTTTGGCCTCTAGGGACCTCAAAACGAAAAAAAAATCGGTCCCGGGTCCAGGTCTTACCATGAGTACTACGGTAAATAGCTTATTCCCTATATGGGAAATTCGCTAATATTCCCTATATGGGAAATTCGCTAAAACGTTTTGCTTAGTAGTTATTCAAAGAAAATAAATTATTTATAGTCAGTATGCCTTCAAAATGAAAACTTCAAATTTTGTTGACGCTAACTAATGGTTTCCTCAGGTAGACTAAAACTTAATATTCCTATTGAAAATTGAAAATTAATTTTATTTGAACAAATTGTTAGATGTTAGTCTCTACAAATCCCAAAGTCTCTACAAATGTTGGAAGTGGCAATAAGTTAGTCCTACTGTAGGGCCTATTACCATTCTTGGTATAGTAGTAGCTATATTTTGTAAAATTTAAGCCCAGTCTGTTTAGTAGTTTTTAATATGTTGAATAGCACACATATACAGTCACCATGAGATTGTTATTACTGTAGTATAGATTATCAAATTAACACCGGAAATATGTAAAGCCCATCTATTTCCACATTTATCGTACTTACAATACGATAAATGCAACCAAAAACATTATGTTTGTATTTTTAGTTTTAGACATATTGTGGTATGTTGCAATTTTTCACTAAATAACAATTCATCGATACAGAGCAGCAATACTCTCATTGATGTTCATAGCCTAGCACGAGTGCCGGACCCAGGCGGCAGGTGAGTGTGGCGTTGCCAGTTCGAACGTCGCGGCCTTGTATTACAGGTGCTCTGATTTAATCAAAATGTTTATAACGAGACTGAATGGTTCAAATTTAAGCGGTGAGAAGGACGACAGGGACTACTTTATCAATATCAAACTTCCTCTAGGGTCTACAATTCAAGATGAAGAACTTCAGGGAGCAAATGATCATGTGTTCAACAACCATACTGAAGATGAAACTCGCTTTAACCAACCTCTAGCTCCTCTACCAAACGGTGAAGCCTCAAACCCTGTCTTAAGAAGAAGCTCAAGGAGAAAACAACCGGTTACAAGAATGAATATGTGATTCTAAAACTTAGAGGAGAGGTGCTGTGTTCAACCAACTGTTTCCTAATATATTTTATTTATCATATGACTTTGTTTACATTAATTTGTTTTTGTTTTGTTTCACTGAAAAAAGCTAACTCACAATAATTTGCTACAGAATAAAAATTTGTATTAAAACATAAATCAACTTTCTTTTCATAGTACATAGCAGATACATAGCAAAAAGTATATATGTTGTGCATAATAGTCTACTATTCTATAATAATCTGGAAAAGGAACTAACATCCTTGTAACAACTCTCATGAAATATATAGATGCGAACAGACGTTTAGGCTTAATGAATGCAACAATTGAGAGAAACATCTCGATTGTACAAACCTCTCGCTAAGCAATCGAAACAATCGATATAAGCGGAACATCTCGAGAATGAACATTTCGATCGTTCAAACATCTCGCAATCGCGCATTACTACTAAGCATGGGTTGGGTTAGGTTACCTTATAATATTTAGTTTTTTAACTACACTCCTTTACCAAACTAAATATAATCTAGCCTAACCTAACCTTACCCAACCTAAGTTAACCCTTGCTTAGGTTAGCAATATGCCGAAAATGACGGATCTTTTGTTAAACCAAGGTTAGGTTAGGTTAGATTATATTATATTTAGTTTGGTAGAGGAGTGGGCCAGGCATTTTCGGCACTTTGTAGTTTTTATGATTGTTCAAACCTGATCTTCTGAGTAAAAACGGCAGTTGCCAAAAAGGACCAGAGGTGAAAAGTGTTTAAAATGTCCTAAGTAATAGAAAAAACACATTAAAAGTAAGTATAAAAAAACGCAGATTTTTAGAACATTTTTGCAATTTTCAAACAAAATTTTCAGGGTGAAATATGTTGTGTATGGCTAAAATAGCAATAATAAACTAAAACATAATACTTTTTTTTTCTTGATGTTAAATTCGTACTGGTACCAAGCACATACCTTATTGAATTAACAAACATTGTTTTGCTTATGTTTTCAATACTATTTTTTTTCAAAATTTCAACACGTCATCAGTGTAGCTATTCATCATCATGATTGTGAAAAGGCGCTGGTGATTGTCTAAAAAGTCTTAAACACAATTTCTGCCAAAATATGATCAAAACATAATTCACTACAATTATTCAATATCACCATGCTACAATTTGGTGGTTTTTTCACTGTTATTCTGTATAACATTTTAAGCTTTTTCAGAAGGATGGATGAAGAAAAAGGGTCGACTAGTCAAAGTATGTCGCCTGACTCTGTGGACGAGGAAAGGCCACTCAAAAAAGCTAGATATGTTTGGCAGATTAAAGGACGTTGTCGCTTGGACAGACCAAGAGGTAAGAACATTTTCTAACCAAGATTTGAAAATTTTTTCATGTAGCCCAGATATAGAAGTTTTTTACTTAGTACCGTACCTACCTCATAGTTCATAAATTTAGTAAAAGAAATTAAAACAAAGTGCTTGTTTTTCACATCATAGGGTTGTAATGCACAGAGGAGCTTATGGGACTACCGTACGCTTTCACCTCTGGTATGTTGTGACAAGCAAGGAAGAGCCTGAACGGCGAGCACTGTGTGAAAATTCCTATCGCACAGGGTCTTCCTCCATTGTGGGCGTTGTAGTAGACTACATGAAGGCGAGGGGGGTTGTGCGGTACTTTGCCTTAGACTTCAGTACTAGTTGTAGACTTCACTTAAGTGTACCAGCAAATGTTTCATCTGTACCTTACTTCTCTGTGGTCATATTAATATCACATGACATGTCAATTTGTAAATAATGTCTTACAAGCTGCTATTCCCATGCTTCGCAATGGTTAGGGGGGGGGGAAGTACACAAACGAGAAAAATGGTTGCTGTTCATAAGATCTGATGTATATGAAATAGTTACACTTCTATTATTAGCTTTAGAAACAAAACACTTTTTATCACTTAGTGTACAGTAAATCTTTTTTCTTTTTATTTAGATAAGGGGTTTCAATGTCCAAGGCTATAAAAGTGTATAAGGGGCGCCGATGCGTGTTTATAAATACTTTAACATATACCGTATGATTTTATTTGAAAAGACAAACTTATTTAAAAAGTGTAGACCAACATACTTTCAAAACTCTACTTATATTTGAAGTCATCAGATCTATAATATTCCAAGGTGTAGCAATAAAATAAATTACTTTATATTGTTAATAGGTGTATGAAAGTAAAGCCTAAAAGTAAAGTAAAGTAAGTATGTACTGTAGTAAAGCCTTCTAAGTCCTTAAGTGTCCTGTCTACAACTTAGTATAGGCTTAATTTGTGCATGTATAATAGGTTACGTACCTTGTTCCGTCTTCAGTCTTAACTTAGTCTATGGATGACTAGTTTCGGGTACAAAGACCCATTATCAAATCTTTATTTAAACATCATATTGGATATGGTCAAACATCCGACGTAAGTCTTCATCAATGTATACATGCATGCAGGTCGACACATAAAATTTACAAAATTAAAAAAAAAAAAAGTTACAAATAGCCTACATTTAATACGATAGACCGGCCACATTGAATACGGGACAAACCGACGCAGGTTACACAGCGGACACGACAGAACTATCCATTGTCCAGTTGGTGACATTGACCTTGGGGGAGGGGGTACGTCAACTGATAAAGACTTGTTGTAGCTCTGATGTCAATGTTTTCAATTCTATCAAATAAAATTGAACCAACATTTAGTTTTTCATTTAAGACGTCTTGAGAGGATTTCTTATTAGCTTTATAAATTTAAAAACTCTCTAAGATGTTCATGAGGGGACCTTTACTGCATTTGTGCAAGATTTGTAAATTGTTTTGGCAACTATTGACATTGTGATTGGCATTGACTAGATGTTCTGCAAATTTGGATCGTTGTAGTGACAGTTTTGGTTTAGGTAGGTGTTCTTTAAATCTGGTATTGAAGGAACGTCCCGATTGGCCTATGTATAATTTGGAGCAATCATTACAAGATAGTTTGTAAACACCTGTGCCATCTAAATCATTATCATTTTGTTTACGGTTGGATTGGCTCAAATGACGTTCTAGCTTTTTTGAGGCTTGCAAGCCTCATCTAATCATCCCCAAGCTCACAAAATGGCAGCTTACAACAGTTTTGTAAACAGAATGTTAAGAATCCTAATGTCCCTAGAAGACTACAACTCAGAATACCTCATTCTGAAACATATAGCTGTTAGCAATGGTTACCCCAGCAGTATTATCGATAAGATAGTTAACAAACAAAAGTACAAAATTGGTAAACAAATTGATAAACCCAGCAACTTTGTATCTGTCAAATTCGGAGCCAACCTACACTATACATTAAATACCCCCGCCGCAGCAAACCTGCCGTCTAAGCGAATTTCCATTTGGCCGAATTGATTTTCAATTGATCTATTTAAATAACATTAGGTTTAACGAGTACCTAGGTTTGCTGCTACAAGGAAACTAATAAAGTAGTGTGTTTTTAGTAAAATATTGATAGCTTACTATAAAATAAATAAATTTGCCAAGTTTGATCAAAATATATCCATAAACAAGCAAACTACAACATTTTACAATATTCTCCATAAGAATAACATGGGAATTTTAAATTTACCATTTTTTTAGTTTTCTCCGTAACCAATAACCGTACAAAAACACTTTGATATACTGAATTGTTTGTTTTTTTAAGCTCTTTAAGAAGGTTTAGAGAAAAATTGGGAAATTTTGTGTTTTGAGGGTAAAAAGTGAGAAAAACCAATTTTTACCCCATAAAACCCCCCATAAAACCCTGTTCCCATGGTCCGATCATGTTGGATCGCGAACTCATTCAAGTTTATCCCGCCTTACACCTTCAAACCAAATTTCATCAAAATCGGATAAAAATTACTCAAGTTATCGTGTTCACGGACACATATATATATATATAAATCTATATATATACCTATATATATATATATATATATATATATATACATATATAAAAATTTGAACGAATGGTGTTTTTGGCCTCTGGGGACATTAAAATGAAAAAGTAAATCGGTCCCGGGCCTAAGTCTTACCATGAGACCTACGGTAATAGCTACTTTCCTATAGGGAAATTCGCTAAAAATGAATTGAAAAAACATAAAATCACCCTGGCTAGTAAAACATCAAACAAGCTAGAAAGAACGTAATTTGAGCCAATCCACTTGTAAACAAAATTATAATGATTTAGATGGCACAGGTGTTTACAAACTATCTTGTAATGATTGCTCCAAATTATACATAGGCCAATCAGGAAGTTCCTTCAATACCAGATTTAAAGAACACCTACCTAACTAACTAAACTAGTCATCCATAGACTAAGTTAGTTAAGACTGAAGACGGAACAAGGTACGTAACCTATTATATATTTGAATATCAGTCTTGGTGGCAAAGATGTTTTAATTTGTGCCAATAAGGTTGGGGTGTAGGAAGTGTGCGAGGGACCGAAAAATTCCCCACCACTCTTCCCTTACTCTGTAGATGTACAATTAGTAAGAAGCCCCTTAAACTTGAACTGTAAAAAGTAGCAAAAGTGAAAGTAGTGGGGGAAGGGTTCTTGAACACTCTAAATGACTTTGATCTGTACCTATACAAATAAAATAATCAGAATCCATTTAATTTAGTTAATATCTCATTACTGTCATATAATAAATATCTGTATCATTAATTCAAAAATAATATTTTCATTGTTTCATTGGCTCAATAGTCTCATTCGATAAAAAATTAAAGTCGTAATAAAAACAAGTTTGTGTAAGTAAGTACATTAGTTTAGTCTAATCTAATAAAATGAAAATATGACTGAATTAACAAGTCCCATGAGTACCAAGAATTTATCAAACGTAATTCACTGTTTCATCATTAAGTCAAATTCTCAACAGGTCTGAGAATTCAGACCATTCATGGTCCATTCAGTCCTCCCATACTTTCCATATTATTCCTAGTGGGCGTATTTTCCATTATTTTTGGTTTTGGTGTACTTGAGATGGTGCCAAGGGTTAGATGTCTTACCACTTGTGATGCCTGGGTTGTGCAGGAGGGCGCAGTTGCAGCCACCAGTCCCAGGCTCAGCCGCAGCAGGCAGCAGAGTGTCCTATTGGCCGCTGGCAGACAAGACAGATGGCACGAGCTGTAGTAGACAACACTATCAACTCCGTGCTAGAGGACATGGGCTTCACCCCACCCCCAGACAACGAAGACATCATCAGCTTTGACATCTTCCCCACCATCCACAATAGAGAAGGCATAGAGAACCAAGCTGTTCTCATGGCCATACAGAGCCACGGGTTGCAGAAACCCTGTATATGCTCTCATTCCTTGGGAGCATCTGTCTCGACCCATCCTGTCCCCTTCCACCATCGACCGTCGACTCCCCTCCCGTCTACATCGGAGCCGCAGGAGAAGTACGCAGGTGAAACTGACTTTCTGGCTCAAGCTGTAGCTGTAGCGATCCAGAAGAAAGGTCTCGGATCGTATTCCGAAACCGATCACGGCTAATGATGCGTTCAATGAGTACTACTGAGTTCCTATCTGTGTTGACGAACATATCGGCACTTGTTGGATTGCATTGTCTAGTTTATTGTAAATTCAGTGTAACTTAGGAGAAAGGTATATTAAGATACAGCAGAACTCTAACTATCCGTACCAGTTGGGACCGGAACCCATCCGATCATAGTAATGAAAAAATTTATGGTCAAATTTTTCAAGATGTCGCTAGAAAGCTCATTAATACAACAATGCAATAGTGTCACTGCAAGATGTACGCAATTTGGCAATCTGGGTGGTTGGAGTTCTAATGTTGTTAGTAACGGCCAATTGACTGTCAGTGTGCTTAATAAAGAATGTTGTTTGTTGAGTGTTTGCATGAATTGATATCAAGTGTAAATTGTTACTAAAACTTCAGGATATTGAAACACGTTATTTTGTTTAGTTTAAAAAGTATCTAACTTTACATATTTTATGGAAACATCTTTATTAATATTAATTTCTATGAAAATTAATCAACTTATTCTTATAACCCATGTTGATAATTTAGTAAAAACAAAAAAAGATTTTTTTATTAAGGTACTTAGTGTAGGTTTTTTTGTGGTAGGGATTTTGCACAGAATAATCCCATCTGGTATTTAATGACTACAGGTTTTTGTTAAGTTTAAAATTTTAAGTTAAAAAAAGTTAAGTTTATTTTTTTTACCATAGTAAAACTAAGTAGGTTTTTTTTTTTCTTGTCTCTGAGAGTTTAGTTTTCTTTAATCTCTTATTCAAATTGAATGTATGTTTCACTTAGCAAGATCACTGACAAACGTTTTTAGAAAGTACCTATATGTGAATGTTTATCCTTCAATAATTTTTCAAATATCTTTTTCTGTACTATTAAATGTCACTTTTATCGGTAAGTGTCAGTGTACATATCTTATAACATTAAAAATTAAATCACATAGTAGTTCATCTGCGGATCTTTTTAGAATTGTATTGAAATATCTTAATTTGTATTATCCTTAAGTAAATAAGGGGTTTTAATTTTTTGTTAATTTTTATCAGGAACTCAATGTAAAACGCCAGATTAATCTAGTCAAATGTTCTAGGGTTTAAAAAGTGGTTAATGATTATGTTTATTTTTGTATTACCAACATAGGCTTACCTAGTGGCGTCATTTTCTGGCATTTTACTTTGCCCGATTAGTCGATTTTAAATTTTCTACACATTCTGAACAAGATACTCAATTTTAAACATATTTACATATTTTACTGTCCCACTTGAACCCCTTTATTAATCAAAAGTCAAAACATGCAGGGTATGTTTGATTTTGTACATATCTCTGTTCTGATGTTTAACATGGAAAGACAGGGAATACAATGATTTAAAGAGTTAAGTCCACAGCACTTGATATGTCCCATAAGGTTCGTTTCCACTATGTATATTTTGTACGAGATATTGTTTAAAAAAATTTGCAATGTCAAAAATTTATTTCTGTGGAATATGTGATGCAAATTAGTTTACATTTTACCATTATCTTAACCAACGCACATTCTACATGATATGCTCAAATATTTATGGTGTTAAGATTCTCTAGGGACACAGTCCACAATGGCCTTGGAACACCTCTTTGGCAGTTTGTGTGTTTACTGTTTATACACATGGCTTGCAAAAAGCGACTGTAGACTCTAAATTCTGTTAAAGATTAATTTAGATGTATTTTCAGATCCATGAGATGTCATTTGTATATTAATGGTCCTTTTCTCTAATCTTTTAAAATGTCTTGTGTAGCATTTTTAGAGGACTTTAGTTTGTTAACTGTTTTCTTCATCTAAAATTACAACAACAATACTCCAGGGTTCTAGAAATATATGGTGTTATAATATGTGTAACTAGATGAAAAATAAGGTTTAGTGGAAACGAACCTTTGCATTATTTTTACCTTGCAGTGTCAGTTAACAGTGATTCCAAAGTAAAATATAGATTCATGGACACTTGTTCAGATGTAACAGAAACATACAGCTTTTAATCCCATAATTTTCACAGTATTTTTTTTGTCAAAACAAAATTTGTAACTTCCATTTAACTGTTAAGGGAAAATGGCTTTGAAAATTAAAAAACAGTATTATTGCACTCAACAAGTGTAAGAAAAGATATAGAGGCTTAGATTTTTAGGGTATAAACAGGTTTTCATATATTTCCAGGTTACTTATACTGTAAGACTTTAGCAACGTCATTAATATCCATTGGAAGAAAGTTTTACATGACATTAAAATTGATGTGTACTATTACTAAAGTTAACTGGTGTTATGCGGAGGTACTTTTTGTTTATACAGACTGCTGCCTTAAAAACAGGAAATTCACAACAGAAGTAATAATTTGGGTTTATAACGGTTGTTTGAGAAAAAAAACTAAGATTTTTTGGTATGATGATAAACAGAATTTTTAGCTTAGGAAAGCATTATAATTCTTAAAAATTATTGGAAAAGTGAAACAGGAAGACCACGACAGGGTTTGCTTGTACTTGGGATCAATAAATCGGGGAAGTCATCTTAATTATTTAACAATTAATTTTGTATACAATAGTAGTATGGATAACCAAGGGGTACCCAAACATATGTATGTATATATACGTTAAATATAACCTTATTTGTTGTTACTCAAATACTTTGTATTTATAGAATTTATTCATGTATTCAAGAATATAACATTTTTTATAAATAATTTTGAAAAATCATTTTTCCTCTTAGTTTTTACTTGATCATTTAAGTTCATTCTGCAAATAAATTTAAGATATTTAAGTTCAAAATATGTATTTTTTCTAAATCGGTGTTTTCCTAGCGACGAAGTTAAGCCAGTTACGCTGTGTGCTTTTTGCTTTGCTTGTTGTCGGAGCCACCAATCTCTTTGAAACAAATGGGACTCTTTCTAGTAATGCGGTTCACAACTACCTCGAGAACAGTCTATTGCGAACAGTGTTGCCAAACTGGCCTATTGTTTACATTAGAAATATAAAGGAAAGTAAAAGAGGTCCAATGGTTGAAAACTCTGCCTAAAATATGTAATGTACAGAATTCTCTATTTCCACCCCACACTGTAAATAAAACATATGATTGGAATTTCTTCCATTTGTTTTGATTTTCTGTTAATATTTCGTCACCAGCATGGCAACCCATATAAGGTCCATATAATTTTTTTTTTAAATTTAAATCCATTTTTTGTGCTTATTTTTTAGCCTACTTTAATTTATAAAGGGATTCTGCACATCTAATGAAATGGTATATATAGTATACTAGGACCGAAAGTGGCATTTTCCGGCGCACACTCAAGATTTTGTGTGAGGCCAAGCCGAACATAGGGAAGACCAATTTCACGTGCGAGGCGAAGCCGAGTATGTGAGAGCAATTTTCAGGTACGAGGCAAAGCCGAGGACAGGAATAATGGAGCAAGTACCGGATAATAACAAGGAAACCCACGTATTTTTCTCAATAAATTTGGTTTCTTTAACAGTAAAATAAAACAATAAAACTACTTTTAACAACAATACATACAGCTGATTCAAATCATTAAATTAAACCGTAAAACAACATTAGCGCACATAGTGAGTAAATGGAGAACTAATTGAGAGCGAGGATATTTTCCCTCGCCCTTAATTGGAGCTTGGGAAACGACTACTTCCATTGATGTCAGCTGTTATCGAAAATAGTTACTTTCGTTACGGATTGATGAAAATATCTTTCCAACAGTATGCGTAGATATTCCCTGCGATGCATACGAGCTGAGAAAAAAGGTTTTAAAGAAACATGCTGCTTATTGCTTACTTACTTTCCGTGTCCGGAAAAAAACACCAGCTCAGTTAGATATTATTTTTCCAATAATCTGCCACATATAATGGCTTCGTCATTTGCCTCCTTAAGATCGAGCCAGGATCTTAAATCTTAATCATGCTGCTTATTAATATATAGATACTAAAAGCACCCTCATGGCTCCTAGATCCAAAAGATTCACTCAGTATTTCCAGCTATGTCCACATCCTCGTCCATCTCTTTCTCTTTAACCACCTACATAAAAGGAAAAAAAATCATTCTCTGATCCATAGCAGATCGCTACTGTGGAACTGCAAATTTGCTAGTCAGCAAATGCATTGGCAGATTTGTTAAAAAATTGTGATGTGTCCTATTTTAACCATGCTGTTCCTGTCCGCGCTGCGTTCTTCAGCTAAACTGCGTAGCACGCAGTACGGTTGCTCAAGATGGAGGAAAACGCACCTTAAACAATCAGGAGAGAATTTCTCATTGCTAGAAAACTAGAAATTATGGTGATAAATGGTAAGGATCCCAAGAAGAAAGTGGACAAATGAGATTAAGAGGGATGTGGAGAAGAACAAGTAAATTGGCAGATGGTGAAGATGAACTGTGGAAGGATAACAAAAGATTAAGCAGCCTAGTGGAAGGATCGACTCAGAAATAATCAGAAAGGAAGTGGATATGAATGTAAGCAGGTGAACAAGCATTAAAGAACCATCAAATAAAACATTTTTTATTTTTAACTGAGTTTGGTAAATTTGGCAATGAAGAAGCCGATGGTATCAAGCTGTGGAGTTGATCCAATGGGAGGACCAAACCTCTGGATCTGGCAGCGTTGCATCTCCGTCAGTGAACTCTGGAATACATCCAAAATGAAAAAAAAAAACTGAAAATGTGACAGCAGGGACAATACCTTATAAGAGATAGTCCATTTCCATTAACAAATAGTCAGTTTGACAAAAAAACCTGGCTTAAACTGAGCCACCCAAAAATTGTTTCTACAGTAGAATACTGTTTTCAACCTTTAACTCAAATGAAGCCAGTACAACTGATGTGGAGTTAGGTACCAAACTATGGGGCTAATAGTCAACTAGTACTAATTGAATTATTGCTTTTCCTGTCGAATTAGTTGGTCAGCTTTACATACGCGAACAATTCAATGGCTCACCACTTTGGATTTAATTGAGTGAGGGGAGATTTTTTATGTAAATACAGAGTCCAGGGAAGATTAGATATACTGTATGTATATTTTTAAATAATGAAGATAGAGCTACAAAATTTACAACAAAGTTACAAACAATAAAAAACCTTTGAATACATTATTTAGTGCTACGCTAACTGATCAGGGGGACGGTCCACTAGGATGCAAAAGAAGACCTTGTAAACATAAGTTGGTATACTCATCAAATTAAGTTTGTTTTTATTAGTAAAATACAATGTTGCAAACTCAAACGGACAACCGAGCAAAATATTTTCAAGGGATTATGAATTTGCAATGGAGGACGGCCACTAGGAGTCAGTAAAAAGTTTAAAACAAGCATAAGAGTATAATGCTGCAAACCCAAACTCCAACAGACTAACGAGTCAAAAATGGCACCCGTTTTAAGGTTTTTTGTCTTTGCAATTATTACACCACCTTGTTATTGGCCAAATTGTAGAATTCAAGATATCTTGAAATGGCTGCTGTTTTTTACTTGTTTTAGTAAAATTGCCATTTTTGGTAATCACATTTCCATATTTAACTAGCCTAACAGGAATTTTCCATATTTGGTAGGCCTAATATCAATTGCTATTACCAAAAAATCTCATGGTAACACCTGCACCTTACTTTTTCAAAAAAGTAAAAGGACAATTTCAGCAAAAAATAACTGTTTCATAAAAAAACTTGTAATCCTGTCTTTTGTATTAAATATTCATAGTAATTTTCATTGATGTTATTTATGCATAAACCTATTAAAACTTATAATTTTTAAAATTAGATAAATAGAATAAAAGTTACTAGTGGAACCCCGTCGAAATCGACGGTTAATCTTGACGTTTTATGTAAATTCAGCTAGCTGCAATGGATAGAGTGAAGTCATTAGAATCTTAGTTAAATGGAGGGAGGATAAGCAATAATAAGTATGACGATTACGTTCCCTAAAAAACGTGATTGATGAATTCGTTTAACACAATATTTCCTACCTTTTTATCGGCTTTAGGTTGCCCAAAAGGTTTTTAGGAGTCTTATAATTGTTTGTTCATAAGTTTGTTTCATACCAAAGCCACTTTCACTATATGGGACAATGAGTTCATATAATTAGTCTATCATGTTACGGAAAGAGTCAATATTTATTACTAACCACTAACTCCATCTGCTTTAGGAAAATCATTCAGATTGTATCAGGATTTATAAGTTATCTTCATCTTTGGTAAAAAAAAATACAGAATTCATCTTTGGTAAAAAAATACAAAATTCTATCAGCATATTAAATCAGTTTTTTTTGTTTGATAAAAATATCTGATTCTCCAGAAAGCAGTAACATTCTTACTTAGATCTCAGCAATTTTAATTCGTTCTCTTGCTACAACGACCCATGTATTTAATTTAATCATCCTGTTCTTACTTGATAATTCATTAACTTATGGGGTAGTTTTGCCTTGGCCATATAGATCACATAAAGCTGTGCATGTATTTCGTGGATTGGAATGAACCATAATTGTAGGAAATTTTATCATAAATCTTGAACATTTGCAGAACCAAATCCATAACCTAGTCCAGCCTTGGTAACAAATTATGCAAATGCGATGAGATGTGATGACACTGTTGTGTTTCCGAATGGTTTGTTTGTAGTGAGGTTTAGATGCGTTGTTCGACCTAGCTACATGTGTACATCAAAGTAAAAACGGTGTACACATTTTTTTTAAATACCTTGAATTGACATTAGTTCACCTACTTTACCAAAACCATAGACTCCGTAGTTAGTCTATTCCAAAACTTGAACACAGCTCTCATCCTCAACGTACTCATCTATGACACAATTTTCAACCCAACATTTTCTAAAAGCAATAAAGCATTGATTTTTGAACAAAACATTTAAAACGTATCATAAATTCATCATTTTGGTGAAACTATAAAAAAACTTGCCATGCAGTGGAGAATCCATTAAAAATAATAATGTAAACATTTAATTTTGACAGTTTCAGTAGACCTTTGAATACAATTTTAATATTAACAGCTGGTTCATTAAAGGTAGTGTAAAATAATCCATATGGTCGAAATGTAAACACAATTGCAGAGTGAACTTTAAAGGCTTCTGGGGCAGAGCCTGAAGGGAATTTACCTCGTTCCTCTTTTGATGGCTCATCTATAGACCAAGACCTTTCTTTAGAGACCCCTACCAAGTTTCTACGCCCAGCCGTTCTCTCAAATTAGCTGGGACAAAAACCCAGTTTTTCCTCCATAAGAATAACATGGGATGGGAATTCAAAGGCCACTGGGGCAGAGCCCCAAGGGAATTTACCACGTTTCTCTTTTGATGGCTCATCTACAGACCAAGACCTTTCTTTAGACACCTCTACCGAGTTTCTACGCCCAGCCGTTCTCTCAAAATAGCTGTGACAAAGAAAAACAGTTTCAAATTAATATATAGATATAAACCATTATGAAATATGTTTTTTTATTTTGTATAAAATGGATGTAGTTGTGTATTAATTTGTATATGCTAGGAATAAAAGTGTATTTTGATTTAATTTTATTTCAGAAATGTGCATGATTTAACATTCAGGTGTGCCAACCAGTAGACCATTAAGTGTATGCTTTTGTTATGAGAGGAATGTTTATTTATAAAATAAAGCACTTTATTAATTCATTCAAGCTATTACCAAAAGTTTCATAAGTGGACCTTATTTTTTGGAAAAAAGGTAAAAGAAAAAATGT